TAGCCCGTCCATGACTTGTCGTGTTGCATGTTGTTGCAGCGCTCAACAGAAGCGTCAAGGCAGCTGCCGCCAGAGAAAACCAAGTTTCAGACGAGCTCCGTCGACCTTCAAGTAAGTTATTAGATAAACACCTCCTCTCTCCCTCCCTCCCCCCTCCCCCCTCCTGCTCCTGCTCCTGCTCCTGCTCCTCCTCTTCCTGCACCTTTTCCTCTCAAACTTGCTTGTCTTCTCGTTCACTTCTGCATCGTCGTGATCATCAATGCAGGATGACCTCCTCTTCCGCATCCGATCATCCTCCTCTGTCTCGAGCAGGAAGTTTCGCTACAAGAACGAAGTCAAATTTCTCAGCTTTGCCAAGCAACAAGTGAAGAAGAAACGAGATGATGATGATGATGATGATGATAAGGAGGAGGAGAAGGTATTTATTATCAGAAGACAGAGAAGTAGAGACATCATGTACTATAGAAGAGGATTCGGTCGGCAAGGAGGGGTAGAGGAGAGGAGGGAGGAACACAAGAAATGTTCGCTGTCACTCATGAATTTCAGTGTGTTCTCAATGAAGCAATAAGACAGAGGAAGGCAGCAGCTGCCTTGACGCTTTTGTTGAGCGCTGCAACAACATGCAACACAACAAGTCTTGGAATTCTTGATGATTCTGACTTCACGCAATCGGAGGTTTTCTCTGAAATCTGCATGAAAACGTCAAGACAGGCGTCAGATCAAACTTCAAGTCTCACGGATTTCTCCCCATATCAACGACGTACTTCTCTGCATATTTCGTGATCGGGTTGCTCTTCAAACCATATTGCTTTCTATCTGCCAGGATAACATCAGAATAACGTTCAACTGTCCATGTAACTCATAACATATCAATATCAGCAACATCAGCAGCTACAACTTCCACATCAACAACAGCAACTCCTCTACCTACAGCAACAAACTCTCTGCACTCTCGCGTTCTCTCACTCACCTTTGAACTGATGGGCATACTCTTGCGTCAACCTGCAACAACGGCGCTATCAACATGTCTGCAACGAAGTAACTTCACCCACCATCCTATCTCCTGCTGAGTTGTCATGGGCTCGTCATACTTCTGTTTCGGTGTCTTGTGTTGCTCTTCAAGTGTGGAGTTCAGCTGAGTGACAACCAATGGATCGAAATGTTTGATCTCCAACCCCAGCTGTCCAGCAACATCTCATCTTACTTCCTTTTCAAAAACAACACACCTCTCTTCGTCATAATCATCATCATCATCATCTCCATCATCATCTCCATCATCGTCATCGTCATGCATCTCCTCATCGTCCTCGTTTAACAACAACAGCACACTTGTCTGACCTTCTTCGCTATCTCTGCCGGCATTTCTCCTCCTCGGACGTGACAGGGTTTCGGGGCTATAGTATTCATGCTCTGCGAACCATCATCAATGCGAAATCAGCACAGGGCGCAGCATACTTTAGGGACCAGCATGAACTCTTCTCTCAGACGAAACGCCTTCCTCTCCTTCTGCAAAGACTCCACAAACACAGCATTCTGTGCCACCACGTTGTTCTTGTCCATCTGCAGCATGCCAAGTCAGGCGGCGCAGTAAGGAACGATGCGGCATCCTCGTCTGTTCCTTCAACAAGCCTATCAACTGATGATCTACCCTTGCAGGCTCAGTCGGACGGTATGGGCTTGTCTCAGAAGTTTGTCGACCACTCAGAGTCTACCTCACATCCTCGTCCTCCTCCACCAACACTCTCGCATTCGCTCGCTTGCCCACGGTCACCTTGACCTGCCGTTGAACCGTTGATAGCAGGGTCCACGTTCGGAAGTTCCTCCTTTGCCCTTATTTTTAAGCTGTTCTGCTTATTTTAAGGGGGTTGTTCTATACATGGTCTTTTTCTCTTTGATGACTAATAATTTTCCATAGAAACAAAAGGTACTACACACTACCCCACCCCTTCTAAATCAGTCATAACACACCCACCTAGCTCTAGAGCAACTGGCCCCTACCCACCTGTCCTTATCTATTCTTATATGAGTTCTGTACCCCTTCAAATCACCCCTCTGGACTACTTCAATTGAAGCAGCAATACCACCCTACCGGTATAAAATTTATGTCCCCCACCGCTATGTGCATTTCGACATGACCCCACCTCCTTGGCAACCTTTGCGCCTCCACGACCTACCCCCTCTTCTTGACCACCCTTCAGTTGAATGGGACCACCGGGTACTCGACGAACATTTCACGGGTCATCATTCCACCCAAGGACCCCCTTCTCCGACCGTTACAATGACCCAACCAACAAATGTGCAGTCCCAAAATACCATGACCGGTGGTATTTACTACCCCAGCATTTTGTAGCAAATTCAGCTCTACAGTACCCCTTCGTGGAGCAATCAGAATGGTGGTGACCCGCCCTTTTACTACCCCCGTACCTAGCCTATCTCCGTAAAACGAGGGGGTGGATAGATCATGGATCCATGATATTGGTGAACGTTCGTAATGGTGCAGGAACAAGAGCGGGAGAGTTGGAGAGGGAGGAGAGACAAGGGCAGATCATGGCAGAGTAGAGGAATATTGACAGTGAGGAAGGAGGTATAGATAGAGACGGAGTGAGGGGGAGGAAGGGTTGTCAGTGATGAAGGGCGTAGAAAGAGGAGAACAGAAAGTCGTATGAGGAGAAGGGGAGAGAGGGCAGGAAGACAGAGGTTGTGATACAGGGAGGGAAGAGACCAGAAATCTGCCGTGGATGTCTATGATGTAGGCTATATGGTGGCCTGGATGATTAGCACTCTCTGCGTCTTTCGACGAGGAACGGCCTGTGGTAGTGAAAGACTAATCATCTGCAACGACACAACGCACGGTAGCAAGGAAGTTTATGACATGTTGAGGAGACACTAAGACGCCAATCTCGTGCCTTTTCGAGATCTGTTTTGCACATTAATTCGAAATAGATGCCGTTCAGGGATGGAGGGCAGGTTGTGTGGAGACATTTACAACAAGATTGGTGAACAGGAGAAATGGTGTAGAATTCTCTCAAACTCCAACAGACTTGAAGAGACAGGCTAGTAAAGGATGATGCAGGAGTTCCGTATCAGCATAGTCAGATATGCTTAACCTGCAGGACATTGTAGGGTCGTGTTGATGACGCCGCTTCACTGGATCCTTGGCGCCATCGGGACGGCTGTAACCGAATGAGGCAGTCACGTTATGATTTGATGGTGTGCATGATGAAATTTAGAGCGGTCAAATGAGGAACGGAAGAGAGGATGGAGGTGGGTTGTCAAGGGAAGGAGAGGGCAAGAACGACCATGGCAGGGAAAAATGCGCTTTGTTGAACCAGTCTTTAACAGGGACAAGCCTGCTGCATGGTATTGATCAACTGTTTGCAGGAAGCTTCAAGACATGACAGTGTCAACTGATGTGAGCGAATCATAGTCTTCAACCGAACTTCGTCATTTTTTAACGCTCAACGTCATGAGGTTTGCTGGGTTGTTGTAGGCTGAGAGTGACTGACCTTTGCCTTGATCTAGTTGTATATCTTGGCTGAAGCCAACGAGCAAGAAAAAGAGCAAGGATCATCAACAGGCAGCTCAGAGCGTGTCTGATACTCCGTTGGACATACCCGGCGGATTGGCAGGTGTTTTATTTCTTTTGCCGTCATTATCCTGAGGGAAAAATTCATTCTGAGTTTCTCATCCATCAGGTATCCGACAGCGAATGGCTGAGATGGGCCATTTCATGAATCATGCTTCACCTGTTGGAGATGTAGTGCCTTTGCAGCTTCCTTTACATCCCAGTCTTCTAAACTTATCTATTTCTCTTCTCGCTATCCTCCCCCTTTGTGCAGGACAATGGCTCTCAAAGAAGTCATTCACAGCCTAACTCGGTCAACGGGAAGAAAAGTAACGGCGAATCTGCCGCAGTGAATGGTTGTTACTCCCCTCCCCGACCCTGCCGTTCCTTCTCTTTCTCCTCCCCCCTAGCATATTCATCCTCCTCCTCCTCCTCCTCCTCCTCCTTCTCTTCATCCCCTTCCTTCTCTTCCTTTCATTTCATTCCCCGTTCTGCACATCAGCACGATTCTTTCTCCATTTCCATCCTATGGGATCTGACAAGAAACGAAGGTACGGGTCAAAACAGTTACAGCTCTACAAACCCGAACTTGAGAAGATCCCCGCGGAACGGAGGCAGCATGGCGGTCAGCCTTGAGGGTGTCCCTTGTGTCTTGTTGAGATTCGTGATTGAGCAGGAGGAGAAAGACAGTTGGTCGGGAGGAAACGATAAGCACGTTACCATCTCCGCCGACTTCTGCACAGAGGATGGGCGTGCTGTGAAACCGGCAACTAGTTTTGCTTCTCTTGCTTCAGACGCAAGTCAGGTGGGAAGCAGCACGAGAGAAGAGGAGAGTGAGAGATAGGGCAGGAGGCGGAAAAGGGAGGGAGGGAGGGAGGGAGGGAAAGGGCAGGAGGTGGATGGGAGGGGGACGGGAGCGAGAAGGTAGAGGGGGGGGGGCTCTTCTATCTCCGTGCTCTATATCTACCTCTCCTCTTCTTCCTCCTGACCTTAAGTAAGGGGGGAGGGGGGCGGGGGGCATTGGTGCACGGAGGATGAGAGATGGAAAATACTGCCTTGGCATCCCGTGATGATGGGCGGCAGGACAAGTTCCTCCGTCAACCTGCCCGTCAAACTTCTCCTGAGCGAGAGTCAGTCGATTGGAAATCCACCAAACCTCCGATCCCGACGCCTGCCAGAAGGTTAGATTGATATGAGCGAGCGAGGTTTGAGAAAGCTTACGTTGTGCGGAATTTGTCTCCTCGTACGTTACAGCATCTCAGCTGAGGTATTTGACTCTCCACGCTGCTCCTTCCTTGTCCCCCTCCTCTTTCTTCTGTCCCCTTTTCTTTCTCCTCGTCGTTTACCCAGGAGTATCAGGAGGACAAAGATTTCGCGGGGATGGATCAAGCAATCAACACGTTCATGGAGAAGAAGCGCGAGGAAGAGCAGAAGAAAGGTCAGCTACCTCTTTTTCCTCTATCCAACATTGTCTTACGTCGTCACCGCCACCACCACCAACCTCTCCTGTTCCCTCTCCCTCTCTCCCTCCCTCTCCCTCTCCCTCTCCCTCTTCAGCTTCCTCTTCATTGTCCCTTGCCCCGTCTGCTCCCTTTCTGCCATCCTCTTCTGACGCTTCTCCCCGTCTCCTCTCTATTCGATTCTTAAAACTGCCTCCCAGAGCGCGCGGCTAGGAAGAGGGCCATGTTCCTGGCGTCGATGGATCGCAGCGATGACTCGAGCTTCTCGCAGTCTCAGGCAGGAGACGAGCCGAGGCCGGTTGCAAATGGAGGTCAGCAGGACGAGCGGACCAGCAAGTCAGGAACTCCGATCCCCCCCACCTTTCCTACTAGCGATCAACTCAGAATGAGATCAGGAGCAGCTGTGGCGATCAACCAGCCTCCTCCTCCTCCTGCGCAAGCTCCACCTTCCGCGTTCTATGCGCCATCCTCTCCTCGTCATCCTGAACCTCCGGTATCTCCTCCCATCTCCTTGGCCCAGCATCCTTCCCCTCACCGACCCTCTCCCCCCCCTCCTGCCCTGGACACCATGTTTCGCTCAGAACTCAACGCGAGCGAGACATTCTCCCCCACCGTTTTCCGCCTACCTCGTGCACATGAGCGCGAAGCCAGCATGGCAGGTGACGCGTACCGCCGACCGCACAGCGGGGAAGACAGGGGAGGTTCAGAGGCTGACAACAGCTTGAGGACGAGGACAGGATACTCCAACCCGCTTCTCCATCCCCATTCCATCCTTTCCCAGCAGTCAAGCAGCGAGCTGAGCGCCCCGTCGGACCTTCAGAGGCAGTTACAGGTACAGCAGTGAAGAAAAGAGGAGGGGGAGGAGACCCGAGCTGATGATGGGTCTCTCGTGCAGGACCTTCGCAGGATGCAGAGCGAGATTGAGACGTTCTCCACTCCTCGTCGTGCCTCGGATTACTCCATGGTTCCTTGCCCTCTCCTCCTCTTGCCACATCCGCTCCTCTCCTTTTCCTGCTCCCTTCGTTCCTCTGCCCCTTCCCCCACTCCCTTCTCTCATCTTATGGACTGTCTTCAGAATTCCCCGTCTTCTTCCTTTACGCCTTACACCCCGAAGTTGTCCGTGCCTCCGGTTTGCTTCTCAAATTTTGTTTGTTCTGCTCCTCAACTTGAGTTTCCAGCTCGCAAGGCAAGCCAGTCCCAACGACTCTTCCTTTCAGGACAGCATCCCTGCCAAGATGGCTGGTATTTTGCACTTTTGCCTTCCTCCTCATTTCTCTGTCCTCTCCCTCACATCTCTTCACCTCACCGTCGCCTCCCACTTTCATCCTGCCTCGATCCTCCTCATGCCTTGGCAGCCTTCAAACGACAACATCCGAATGGCTCCTTTCATCAGTGGCTCCTCCGCCTTACCCCTGAGGACATAACAAGGTGGGAAGGAGCAGGAGCAGGAGCAGGAGCAGGAGCAGGAGCAGGAGCAGGAGCAGACTCTTGACTAATTTTACCAGGGCCATCTCGACATCCAACGGAGGAACAGGAATCTGGCGGCAAATGTGGGATCGGTACGTCATCGTTCGATACTCCTCGACCCCTCCCCCCCACCCCCCTCCCCCCATATTGCTCCTCCTCTTCCTCGTCTTCGTTCTGATCCACAAGTGACCCTCCCCCCTCCCACCCCCCACCCCTCTTCTTCTTGCTCCTCGTCGTTGTGACCTGCCCCCGCAGCATTTCGCCCTACGACAATCAGCCTCACCCCGAGCTCGCTCCGTCGCCTCCTCCTCCCCATCAGCGGCAACTCTCACCCTACCATCACATGCATCTCGATTCCTCCCTTTACAGCAGAATCCCGCAAGGCAACCAGCAAGACTCTTCCCATCGCCTGCTCAACACAGTACGTCTTGCACCTCTCCTCCCTCCCCTTCCATGCACCGCTCAATCCCCTCGTCCCTCCCTTGTATCTCCTCATTGCTTCCTCCCCCCCACGCTCCTTCGCTCTCCCATCCGTCTCCTGTTCCTCCCTTGTGCTTCTTGAGCCTCACGCTACACAGGCTGACGTCTCCCCTTCCTTCGCCGACTCCTCCTACCACAGAAACGTTCAGCACTCTCCTCCTCTCCGGCAAGTCTTCACGTCGGAGCCGCGGCAGCAGCTCGGCTCTTCTCACTACTACAACAAAGAGGCTGCTGCTGCAGGGTCTTACAGTCTCAGAGAACCCTCTCCTGCCTACCAGCGCCAGCTCAGCCCCTCCTCCCTCTCTCCCCCAGCTCAGCTGCTGGGACCCGACAGGAGCGGGTTTGTCAGCTTCCGGGCCATGAACTTGCTGGGCCCGACTGAACGTCGAGCTGAAGGCGACTCGCATTTAGTTTGCGGGGTACGATGGAGCTGACGGCTACCGTGCAGGTAGGAAATGGCAGTATCCAGCTTCCCCCCAGCTAGACTTGAACTCGACATCCTCGGTAAGTCCCTTCCGCTGCCTTAGGGCTCTCGGGTCAACTTCATTCCCTCCTCCGTCCTATCCTCCCTCCTCTCTTCAAGCTCTCACAAGTTCCCGCCAGAACTTCGAACGGCGGGCGCTGCACTTTGCGGGCTCGCAGGTCTGAGGCCTTTCCACTTGTACAGAGAAGTTCAAGGAACATCTCTCCTCCCTCGTTAACAAGCAAAGACTCGGGGATCACTAGGGGACAGAAAATGTCCTCGGCCCTTGAAAGCTTGAGAATTTAAAGCTAAAGAGATTTCAAATATTCACATCCTCGTGCGCCTGCTCCCTCCTGCCCTCGTGTTGTCCTTCAGGCTGCTGGCTTGTTCGCTGCAACAGCCGATCAACACAATCACAGAGAAGTGAGGAAGGAGGAGAAGGGAAGGAGGGCAAGGAACGTAGATCACGATACAAGAGTCGTGCGCCAAATATCAGCAGGGACGGCATGGAAACGCAGGAGGGATATCACTGAGGTTTACAGTTGAGGAGGAGGGGGAGAGGAAGAGCAATGCAAACATTTCCTGACCTCGTTCTCTGATCCACTTGAAGTATTTCTCGTCGTACCAGGTGTGACCCTGCATGTCCATCTGCCACATGATGTAAGAGGGCAGCGCACAGTGGCTCCGCGACTCACAATCTTCCTGCTCAGCTGGGTAGCCTGGACGGTCTCGTTGGAGACGTGGCATGCGAGGAGGAGGTAGTTGCGGGGGATAACTTTCCATGCAAACCTCATGAACAGCCCAGAGTAGATGCACATCGCCACTTGCCTGCAGCGAGAGAGACACGAAGAAAGAATGTAAGACGATTATCAGTCACAGCAGTCACCATCCTCACATGTTCTCTGAAATGATGTCTGGGGTCTTTGTCAAGTCCGCAATTCCCTGGAGAGAGGTGAAGTGAATGAGAGCGGCAGCAGGAGTAAGTCTCTTACTGCAACCACAAATCCCCAGTTCGCAACGGGGCCCCAGAAATGTGTTGTCCTTGGCCCAGTGGGAGAGTTGAACCAAGCCATGAAGCGAGACGACATGCTGGAAGCAAGAACGAGTCATGATTAGCACACGTTTGCAAGATGGAAGAGAGAATATTGGATGTCATGAGGAAGGCTATGAAAACATTGCAAGGCGATCTACTCTGAACTCAGGTACTTGTCCATGGGTTTCATTCCAGGTTCTTCCTTTGCTTCCCCCCAGCAAACGTCTTCGCCCCTTCTGCAGCCACTGTCGCAATGCATCTTCTCTTGCTGATCTCGAATACAACCCCCTTGATTTTCACTCGTCACGATCCTTTCTAATCCCCTTGGGATGTCTGGAAAGCATTGAAATCAAATTCCAGCTGTATCGGCAGCTGGTTTTCAACCGCTCTTCGATGCTGCTCCTCTCTTGTTCTGGCCCCTCAATTTGAAGATCTTGAGTTCTTTCTCTGGCGAGCATTCCCCCATCAAACGACATACAACCCATCTCAGTAGCTTTCATCCTTCAGGTCTGCTGTGCTAGTTCCTAACCATCTTCAAACAGACATATCATCCTCCTCTTCTAGTCTGTCAGCCTCTCCTGCACCTTCTCCCGCATTGGCTGCTGCCCCTGTTCCCCGCCCCTCGCGTCCTCGTCATTCTGCTTTCATGACCGGCTGGGATCTGCATTATACCCCACCTTTCCACCCCCACCCACCCTTTATGTGAATCTTCACCCCACCTACTCCCAAAATTTTTCCATTTCCTTTTTTACACCCCTCTGTCTGATAATCAATTACCTACCCTTGTCACCTATTCGAAATAACCCCACCCTACAAATATCTCCCAATATCCCTCCACCCCCACCCCACATATCTCACAACCTGGTACGTCTCCCCTCTATACCCCTTGTACCCCTCTTGCAAGACGATACTACCACCCCTCCTCATCTCTCCCACACATACCCCTTGCATCAGATTGCTCGGGCTTCGACGGTGGGGTACATTACCCTACCCTATCTATATCAGATATTCTTCCCTATAAAGAACCGGTTATTCCCCAGTCGTCATTGGTATCACCCCCACCCCCTTCTCTCTCCACTACCCTGTGTCAGCCAGTCAGCACGGTACGGCCCGTCCGGCGGCGACACCCGGCCGCCCCAGTGTCGCCGGCCGGACCCGGTGACGCCCCGCCGCCGGGCACAACGGAGTCAGTCAGCCGGTTTTCTCACTGCCCGGCCCGGACCCGGCCGGGCCGCGGCGCAGTGACGGACCGTAACCTAGTCTTTCCTCGACTATCCTGATTGTCCTCGTACTGAGTCTTTACTGAAAGGCGAGGCCACTGGGCCTCACCGGGCCCGGATACCGGCTTTACCGTACTAGTGACGGTAGTACGGCGCCGGGGCGGTCCCGGCCGGACTGAGTCCCGGCCCGCTGGTGACTCCGGGCGGCCCGGCGCCGGCCCGTGACGGGAGTCCGGCGGAGCACTGGCAACTTGTGCAACTTCCGTTTGTTACACTTGTACTGTGCCAAAGTCACGCAGAAATCATGGCATATCAACCTTAGTTGTAACAAGACAGGCAAGCCTGTTTTGCTCAAGACCGAGTTTAATGCACACGAAAACTTGAAACCAATACCGTTCACTATCAGTGATGCAAGGATGTGACTCAAGCATCCAGACATGAGGGGACCTTAGCAAGACGGCTAGGAAGGCCCCCTGCTTCATCTCTGCGCTACATTGCTGCCTTGAAACTCGTAAGAGTTGTCTTGGTTTACGGGAGAGTTTTTGTTAACTCGGCACTATCTGACTGGCACGGCACATCAAGTGCAAATCACAGACTCTTTGGGCCACTGCAAAGGACTTTAAAGGTGCGTCATGCATAGTGTTCTTGAGCGCTGACATGCCTTGGATCATCTTTGATCCTGATTGGAGCCGTTGCTGGAAGTACAACTGTAATCCTCAAAACGATTCTTGTCCTGATCAACTTCTCAACGCAGGCAAGACAAATGTGCGTTATGCGAATTATACCCACTTTGACTCCTCTGTAATGAAGCTCATACTGAGCCTGAAGAATTGAAGGGGAAAATCACATTCTTCGAGTGGTTTATCATTTAATCCTTAAGCTTTTGCAAGACCTCTTTCAATCGGTCATCGCCGCTACTTGCTTTTACTATCTCCTGGACATTGATCTGGAACGAGGCATTCGTGTGATCTGAAAGTCTCCTACCAAGACATTTCGGCAAACCACTCCCGTCTCGGCAAGACACAAACGAGCCAACATCAGGATTTTGACGGAAACTGAGTGGCTGGGCGCCAAAGAAATGTTCGAAATCCACTTGGCTGAGACTGCTCAATGATTGGGACTTCAGACTCAAATCCTTTGCCTGGATGTCTTGCTCTGTGGTACGAGACTCTCCCAAGCAGCTTTTTCTTCTCCTCCCGAGCTGCTGCCACGATGAGGAATCAACCACAGTAGGTTGAGTTGCAGCTTTGTCCTCGTTGTTGTTGCCGCACCACTGATTCGTTTCTTTTGGATCGTTTTGGAAGAACGACAAAACATTCCCTGTTAGGATTTTGCTTTTCCAAGATGACATGGCGATTGCTTCAGGTTTCCAGCTTCAAACACTCTAAGCTTCTCTCCCGGTCCCCTTTGTGTTGTTCAGAAAGTCGCAATTCTTTGTTCAGGACCTTGAGTTTAGCTTCGACCGGAGAGACCAGCAACAGGCAGGCAGAGCTCTTCGCTGCTTTCTGCTCGATATTTGACGTCCTTTACCCTCAGTCGTGACGATCGCAACCTTGTCCCCTTCTCTTGCCCTTCCAGTCTCTCCCCCACGCGCGATTGCCGCAGAGGCGTCCTGTCTGTTTTTTATTATAATGGCGTGCGGAAAACCACCCCTCCAAACAAGTACCCCCACCCACTCTTCTGCTGGTCAAGTCAGTCTAAATAAGGGGTGAATTTGGTAATCCTCGGTACCCCCTATCACCTACCAAGTCCACTTAGACTTTGTGAATATCAAGACCACCCCCACCTATCCACCGCTTGCACGGAAATGCGGGGGTGATGGTCCTTAAAATTACTACACACGTCCGTATCAAGCTCGTCATCAGTTCTGTAGTAAAAGTGTCAGCAGAACAAAAAGGTGTTCGTACACATGTATCACGATTCTGTAGTAAGTTTGATCTGACTCATATCTCCCACGCACAAGGCACATCTCCTGAGCCGTGAGGATGGAGCACGTCTCATCGAGCTTAGTGCTGTGAAAGATGATGCGTAAAAGCAGGGCATCGAATCCTGGACCTCTCAAAGATACTTTCACTATGGCTATGTGATCACTATGACCTTATCTCAATGCGTAGACGAGAAGTGCCGTGCTTCTTGCTGGCGGCAGCAGATTTGAGTTCGAGACATCATCTTAGAGCAAAGGTTTGTTTGCAAAAGCTCGAAGGGACCAGACTAGATATTATCTGTCTCTTGGCAAGCCGAAGAACATGTGGGGCGTGGGCTGGGCTGGGCTATTGCTTTGATCTTACCATTGACTCGCTTCCGTCCATAAAAAACGTGCAAAAAGCTCTTCGTTTATTTTAGCATCTGAAACAAGGTTGCTGCACCCACCCACCCCCCTCCCTCCCCCCTCCCCCACAATCTGAGTATACATCAGCGTGCTTCTTCCATTTTCAAAGTTTTCAGCGATTGTGATAGACTGCCTTCAAAGCATTTGTGAAAAGGATTCTAAATCTGTATATTGCCAAGTCTGATCATCACAGTCTGTGTGTATTGCATGGCAGCATGGCATCAGGAGATAAGAAGTCACAGTAGCATCATTTGCCTGTGTCAAATTGGATGATCGTGGGATCCACACTTGCTAGTTTTGGGTGGCAGGTTGTAGAAAATTCCGCTGTTGTTGAAAATGGCATGACATCTATGTTCCCTGCTACCTGCAGAACACCGTGGTATGCGATATGAGATAGGTCTGATTGTATCACACCCTTGTATCACAAAAAAAGATAAGTGTCAGATTGCATCACCGGGAAGTGCACTACAACACGATGACTCGAGCTCCGCTTGCAGGGCATAACATCGTGGAATATTGCAATTGCATAACCTGGCAACACTGTCAGAGCCCTAGGGAAGCTAGCACTGTGACAACTTCTCTAGCGAAGCTAGCACAACTAACTCACTCCCCTCAGCCTGGTGCCACGTTGCGGTTGATGCCAATGTATTTTAACAGCGGTCATACCAGCGAAGCTTTGAGCGCTCACCACCGAACGATCCGATCACACATCAAGCATGCCAATAGCACAGTGAGTCAGTGTTTGTTAGTGTTCCTTGAGAGTCTTGATATGCGATAACGTGACGTCGAGAGCGGTCTTGATACGCTATCAACTTCCGGCAGTTCGTTGATTTACAACGTGACGTGCAAGTTCCGTGGAAGGTCTTGATACCTTGATACACTTCTTACACTACTAGTAAAGAGTTGAGTAAAGGTAAAAGTTGACTTGATATGACTTCATTTAGAACTGCATTTTAAACGGTTCCGGCCCGGAGGTTCGGCGCCGGGCCGGATTTGGTGGCACCATCACTCAGATCACGAACCGGAGAGGGGTTGCTGCCCTTCAATGCTGCTGGACATGTCGGCATGAAGTTGGCGCTCCTGTCCCTCGGTAAGCTGACGGACGAGCGCGTCCTGTCGCCCTGTTATGTTCCATGCTCCTTCCTGATCGTCTTGTCCTCTTCCTCCTCGCAAGATCATCGTCCTTCCTCCTCCAGCCAGCGATTCTCAAACTGCATCAATGCAGGAGTTTTCTTGGGGCTGTATTTCGTCTTACAGGCGCATAAAGAAAAGCTGAGATGGCCGGTAATCGGTGCAAGGAAAATCTGATTCACTCATTATGGTGCAGAGTATTTTACGATTGGTCGTGAAGAAGAGACCTGAAGCCGATGGAGAGGTTGCATGCAGGCTTCTTGCTATACTGCATGCAGTTCTGGTTTGCATCTTGTCAGCGCTCTCCAACCTTGTCATCGGGCCATGGGCATACTCTGCTGTTGGGGAAGTGAATACCGCATTTCAGAAGTTCGTGCTGTCGGTAAGCCGACGAGACTTGCAATCGATCCCAGTGACGTGGGATAGGTTTCACTTGGGTATTTCCTGTTTGACTTCCTTTGGTGCCTCTTGTCTGGAGGAGAGACATGTACTGAAGCTACCATCTCTCCTCTCACGTTGATGTAGTGTGATTTGTCTGAGCCAGGGCTCATGATCGGGCATCACGGCGCATCTATCTTCTGCTGCCTCCTCTCCCTCATGACAAACGTCTCAGGATCCGAGGTGGTTGGGTGCCTCTTCGGGGCGGAAGTGAGCAACCCGTTCCTACAAGCCCGATGGTTCATGCTGGAAGCCGGGTTGAGGGAGACCAGGGCTTGCCGGATCATCGAAGTGACCTTCGCGCTCGTCTTTCTCTCCTGCAGGTCCATCCCTTCCTCCCCCTTACGATGCGTTGAAAAGTGAGTCGTCTCGTAGGGTTTTCTGGGCTCCGACTTTGCTCTGGGTTGTTGTGGCGTCGCCCAAACCCCCGCAGACAATCAAGGTCGGTGCAGTCTTGCTCCAAATCATCAGGTGCAAACCGTTGGCTGCGGTCGCAGGGCCCGGCGGCGCTCACTTTGCCTTCAGCTGGACATGGTCATTCTTCGTCGCCAAAAAACTCTTCGCCGCTTTCAAACGTGAGCTCTTGTCCTTTCGATTACAAGTTTTCCGTTCCGCCTGTTGGTTGACAGCCCTGGCAGATCTACGGCAAAACGACAATCAAGAATCGAAATTGCAGAAGACGGAATGAAAGATCAGCCTGTCGCTCTCAGGAATGAAAGATCAGCCTGTCGCTCTCAGTTTCAGGCTTGCCGCAGCGAGTCACGCGACCCGGCACACGGTGCCGCGCCGGACTGGCAACTCAGTTCGGCGCCCGGCAGCCTCGGTCGCCGTCGGAACCGTACGGTCACTGCCAGTCCGACGGTGTGGCCGGGCTCAGCGCCGGTCCGGTTACCACCCGGTGACGGCGCCGAGTCACCCGGTCACGCCGCCGCGCCACGCCCGGCCCCGGCGGCAGCCGCCACGCCGGGTCCGCCGCGGATCGCCGCCCTGGTGGCAGGCCCGGGCCGCGCCGCGGGCCCGGGCCCGGCCCGGCGGCCCAGTGGCCCGGCGTCCGCCGTTCTCCGAGACGCCGGGCCACTGGGCGGTACGGTCCCGGTCCGGGACCGTACCGCCGGCCGCCGCACGCTGCCGGCCGCGTACGGTAGGCCCCGGAAGCCTTCAAGCCCAGCCGCCGAGCCGGGCCTGGCACCTCGACTGTCCGATCGGACTGTCACAACTTGGCCCGGCCGCGCCCGGAGTGACTGACAGTGAGTCGCCGAGAGTCGGAGTCCAGCTGTGAACCGTTCGGCCCGTGACCGCCGTTCAACGAACGGCCCGGGGCCCCGAGCGGAAGTGACGCCGACTGCCACCCCGGAGTCTTCCGAAGTTCGCTTTACTCAAAGTGAAGTTAAAAATCAGTACGAGGACAATCAGGAGAGTCGGAGTCAGTATGATGAAAGTGTCGGACGGTCAACGGGCCGGCGGGCCGGGCCGGGCGGCCCCCGCCGGACTTGAGTCGTCCTGACTCTTTAACTTAAAACTTTGAGTAGCATCTAAAGGGGAGAGCAAATGTGTACAAGGGCGGTGGTGCAAGCGGCCGCGATGATGGCGGTGGTGATGGGGAGCGGGACGAGGGGAGGGCAGAGTTGTCAGCCATCACATCTGAGAGCGACTCCTTGCTTCCTTCAGAGCTCCCTCCCTCTGCATCTTGGAGGAAGAGGAAGCAAGACGTTCGAGCTCCCTTCCAGCAGGAGATATTCTTGGTCGCTTTCTCAAGGAGCAGGGTTGGGCAGGAGGGGCAGGATCCAAGGGCCGACGATGCAGCTCGATGTTTCTTCGACGCTCTTTTCCATCGAGCAGACCATGACGTCGGTGGTTTCAAACGAGCTCACACACATCTCCCCCACCTCCACCTTTGTCATGCTCCTCGCTGGAATCCTGACGTCCCTCACCCCCTGCGCGCTCTCCACTCTCCCTTTCATCGTTGGGTACATCGGCGGAGTAGACGAGCGGCGATCTCCTATCGTGCCATCAGCCGCCTTCTCTCTCGGTTTCGCCACCTCCCTGTGCATGCTGGGGCTGGGCGCTGCCCTTTTTGGGAGCGTGTACGGAGCGACGTCGTCGGGTCCACTGCAAGAGACGTTCGCCATAGTCTCGTCGGCTCTCTTCGTCGTCATGGGACTTGCTCTCCTCGACATCTTGCCTCTCCCTTCCTTGATCTCGGCTCCGAAGATAGATGAGACATCGCGGGACAACCCAGCGCAGGCAGTGGTACGAGCATACATCTTCGGGATATCTGTTGCCTTCGTCTCCTCGCCCTGCGCAACTCCCGTGCTGGCCTCTCTCCTTACCTTCATAGCGAACAACAAGACCGACCCGTCAGTCGGAGCTGTCTTGCTCCTTGCCTACAGCATCGGATACACTTCACCAGTGTTTGCTGCTGGTGAAAACAACAGCATTGTTGCCCTTCCTTCAGTTCTGCTGAGCTGCCTTCAGGTCTCACGACGCAGTTCATGAAGTCGCTCGTTGGCATGAAGGTAAGATGGCAGGTAGGAGAGCAGCGGGCGTGATCTTGTGTCTTCAGGCGAATTTTCGTTGGTTCACTCCGCTCAGTGGAAGGTTGGCAGTTTTCTTGTTCAAATCTGGTGCATGTTCTGACATGTTTGGTGATGTAGCATGTTGATTGCGTATGGAACATATGAAGCTGTGAACAGAATCTTTCCCGCGTGAACAGAATCAGGTTTAAGGGATAGCCCAAACAGTTGGAACAAAACAACGCCAAGTTATCTTGTACAAATAATAACGAGATTGGAATGAGGGGAGGGATGGGCAAGGCGAGATAGATCAGTTGTCTTGAGTTTTGTCCGTGAAGTCTCTGGTGATATCCTGTGCCATCAACAGTCAAGAACGATCTTCGCTCCTTTCAACCACAACACGACAAGAGGAGCCCAAATTGACATGTAGACAAGTTTCAGAGTAAAAATTTCACCTCAAGAGGAGTAGCTGCTGATCTCTTGGCAATGTCAGCCCAGGACAGCTGCGGGTAGTCAGTCAACAAAGACAATGGAGTATCGAAGGATGAGAGGGCGTGGGATGCTTGCAAGGAAGTAAGGGCGGTGGCCAAGGAAGGAGTGAGAGGGGGGAGGGGAGGGGAGGGCGGAGGTGGGAGAAACGGAAGGCAAATCGGGACAGGGAGAAGCACAGCATAGAGGGTGAGGAAGGTAAAGAGAGGAGATCAGAGAGGATCCTCCTGACTTACGGGTGCTGGTTTCCTCTCGCTCTCTGGGTCGGGGGCTTCGTGTCTCCAACCTCCTCGCCCTCGGACGACCCTCCCAGCCCTCCGTGGTCTTCTAACATTCGTAAATCGAGACCCGCCATGCTCTGAGTGATGGTCTGTCGTCTCCTGGGATCCTCGTCGGCCTCCCCTCCTAACGTAGTCTCCTCTGCGAGCTTCTCCTCTCTCGTGCCATGCTTCCTGATGATCGCCAATTGCTCCAGCAGGAAAGGCGGAAGGGGGATTGGAGGACTCTTGATCTGCGAAGGAGCCTGAAACACAAAGTCAGATCAACTCATCTATCTGTGAGTTGAAGACGAAAACAATGACAAACACAAGAATTGGGTACACTAGGCGTTATGATAATAATTAGACTATCTGAATGGAAAAGCAGAGCACGCATTGCACAATTCCACCTGGCCTGGGCATTGAAACGTCGACTGAGCTCGTTTCATTCAGATTCGTCTGCGCGTCTTCTTGTACAACTTTCGGTGGCCTCGGAGGGCGTGGCAAAGGTTTTATGAAACCTTCTTTGATCAGTCCCTGCGCTTTCCGTCAGCTACAGTCGCGCTGCCATTCTTTCGTCACAGTCCGCAGCATCGGGTTGACATGGTGCTGATTCTCCTCCAGCCACTCGATCAACTCGGGAGGAAACTCTTCTTTCTTCATCGGAACAAATTCTGCCAGCAAGAAAATGTCAAGAGTGTAATAAACTTGCTTCAAGTCAAACCTTCAATGTCGCCTTCCAACCAATCTTGCCAGTCGTTGACGATGTAGTTCAGTGCAGCGGGGAGCCCCCGAAGTTCCACCGTGTCATAATCTTCACCAGAAATGTTCTGTTTCAACCAACATCAGTTGCGGGAGCCTTCATGGCTGAGCAATCTGGAAGCAAGGTTTCTGCATAATGTTGCAACAACTTACCGATTCTCGCAGGACCACTTCTTCTGAGGAGAGCTCGGATGTGAGCGAGTCTTCTTCAATGAAGCTCGCTGAAGGTGAAAACAACAAGTCATAACTCGGCAACAGAGCGGATTACTGCTACATGCTGGAGGAGGAAGGACCCGGCTATAACGAGTCTCCTCATCCATGTCTTGTGTGTTGTTTGCCCATGTTTCATACTCATTGTCGTTCTGTGAGACGCAAGAAATCATTGAAGTCATGAAAGAGAACTTGATCTTGATGATAACACCAAGATTCGATAAGAAAGAAAGGCACAGGAGACTATCACAAAGGAAAACAGGTCAAACAAGCACAAATAAGCAGAAAGCAAATGCATCCAACTCTGATTCACACAATACAGTTACCTCTCCATCTTTCGTTGCATCCTGATTCACTGCAATCCCATATTCTTCTGCATCAAAGACTGGAATGGGCTTCCCAAACTTGATCTGATTCTCTTTCAACTGATCCCACTCTTGAAGTTCTTCGTCCTCTAGCGCCCCGAACTGAAGATTCCATGTCAGCTCATGCGCTCAACGATGTTAACATGTACTGATTCGTTTGCTCCCGATCCAGATTCGAAGAAAGGGCAAAGTTCTCTCTGAGTGTTGAAGTTCCTCCCCCTGTTCCGACGAGTGATCTGTGATACAAAGAGTCAGGCGGTCGTCACAAAAATGATCAAGAGTTTCATGTTATCAGCATCCCGCCGATGATTCGCATGGAGATCACTCTTTCATCGATGACTTACTTCTTGATCCGTCATGAAGATATTCTCGTCATGCTCTGGTACGTGCTCCTCGTGTGCGGCTGTAGAGAGGGAGTATCGTCGGGGAAAACACAAGTTATCAGAAAGGTTAACTGCAAACTTTCAGCATTTTCACCTTGAGTTCTCATGGGAATCATGTACTGGATCGCAGGATCATCTTCACATCTCATTTCTCTCTTCGATGTTTCTGTCTGCTGCCTCTCCGCGCCATCCCCCGCCTCTGGCTCATGCGCACCACCATAGAGGCGCAACGCTAGGCCGCGACCATACCTGCATCCCTGCCTCCGCGATGAGTCGCAGGTGGTATGAGGTATCCCGACATCGTTCAGTGCAGTCTGATCTACATCTGATCTCCTTCCTTGATGCGGGGTTGGCGCGGAACATTCTAGTTTGGGATGATGCAGCCAAGAATCTCGTGCGACCGGTTGGACCAGGGAATTTAGCAGAGCACAAGGGGGGCCAGAGGAGGAGGAGGAGGAGGCAGTGAAGAGAAGAATAGTCAGTAGGCGGCTCAGCCGCATGGCCGAAAGGCTGGCCGATAGCTGCTGGAAAAGGGAGCGGAGATTCGGGGAAAAGGCGGCGCAGGGAGGGCAGGGGACGGGGAGGCTCTAGGGGTCCATTCTCGGGGAACAAAGGGGGTAGGGGGGTGTCGCTCTGAGGCGATTACGGCGATTTAGGAGTCCTGGTGGCATCGGGACGATCGGGGGGAGAAGGGAAGGAGAGGAGAGGAGAGGAGAGGAGAGGAGAGGAGAGGAGAGGAGAGGAGAGGAGAGGAGAGGAGAGGAGAGGAGAGGAGAGGAGAGGAGAGGAGATGGGGGAGGGAGGGAGGAAGTGGAGGAGGAGGTAGATGACTGCCAGATGCTACACTACCGGGATCCCCGACGATCACAGGGGATGGAGATAGAGTTGCTCTATGAATCGCAATAATACGCTCTTGCTCCTGCTCGGCATTCTTAGTGTTTCGCCATGGTTGCAACTTTGGAGCCTTCCCAGGGACGGGCGTCGAGTGTCTTCGAGATCTTTCCGGTATGATGAGTTCGATGCTTCGAGCTGCTCATGGTTGCTCTTGTCGCATCAGAGATAATAGCGACAACAGTACCTTGCAGCGTTTTGTCAGCCATCTCCAGAGGTTGTTTTGCTGTTCCCGTTCGTTCCAGCTGAAGCCTCCACAGCATCGAGGATGAGCTGAATAGGATCAGATCGCACGAGCTGAAAGACTGGAAGCGCAACGAAAACGTGTCTGTGGGGGTAGAGGAGACAGCAGACAGTCACCTGGTCAGGGTACACGACTCTTGCTTGCCCCAACTCAGAGCCGTCTCATCTCGCCCGCAGGTGATCTCACTGCAGCTTGGGGGCAACCCAGGCATCATGCAGGTCTAGAGCTGGAAGTTTCCTGATCTTGTTGGAAGTGAGAATGTACCAAAGGTTTCCTTGCCCCTCCTGTCGAACTCGACATACCATCTTGAGTTGCAAGGGTGCGCGCTTCCGTCTGGTCAAGACTTCAAGGTGTCTGCTGCCCGAGCCCACAAGGTTCGCTCATGCTCCCGCAGGTCTGTCCTTTCGTGGATGCAGTACATGAGAAGAGGAGAGCGTCGATGGTGTTGTGGAGGTGCAGGAAGGGACTTGTGACAGACGACGAATGGGAGCGGAATGGAGTGCCGTGCTCTGAAGCCAGCACGCATTCCAGCAGCGATCGTAAGAGCAGGTGAGGAAGATAAGAAGTTGATTAGATGAAACTTGACGATGGTAAGTGACGTGTAGAGTCTGATGTCAGGTTTACCATGAGGCTCAAGTTTCGTACCTTCAGCAACTCAGCGGAATACAGGTATGCAAGCTAGAGGGACGAGGGATGTGGTCATGATGGGGAGTGCCACAGGGCAGGTTTACTGTTCGTCAATGCAAGTGCTGGAAACACTTTCTACGTCTCCCGGTTCTGTTTGGCTCCATCTTCGCCCCTTTCACAGTATCACGGTTACCGCTGCTAGTAGGATATTCCCAGAGCAAGTAAAAAGCAGTCGTCGCTTACAAAAACGGCGAAGACGCGGTGGGGAGAGGGTGGTAACAGGGGCAGGAGGGGGTGGTAACGGCTGCAGGAAGACGAGAGCCGCTATCACTAACACTGCAACATATGGAGGCTGACGTTGCCCGGCAGCCTCAGGACCCCGTCGTTGGGAAATTCAGCAGCTGAACTGTTCAATGACGGCAGGCTGTGCGGGTTGACGACGGTCATGTAAGGGATATTGAGATGCTGCGACTCAACATCGCCGTGGATCTTCTGCTCTTGATGCAGAAATTGGCGAGTGAAGCCGGGCGGACAGTCGTTGGTAGAAGTTTCGTCCGCAGGAAGTTCCATACCCTTCTCCAGAAAGCTCGCTGCTTGCTCCTCCTTCCCTTCCTCCGCCTGCGGCTTCCCATTGCCCTGGAAAGATCTGGCAGCAATGGCAGGAGCATGCACCTGCTTTGGTAGGGGGAGCTGGAAGGAAAGTCGATTTTCCTGGAAGCTGCTCTCTGCCACGGTTGCTCGCGGCCCCCTGGAACCGTGGTGGTGATGAGGCGCAGAGTGCTGGACGATGTTGCCGGAGGTGGCTCGATGGATAGGATTGCTATGACCGTTCACCTGTATCGTGTTTGAGTGCCGATAGCAAGACAAAAAGTCGAATCACATATGCAGGCTGCATCTGAATGACGGACACCGCTGATGCTCGTCTCAGCTCCTAGCACATATCATGTTAGGCAAGGAGTTGCGTGCAACAATGTCAAATTGCTCACCACGATCTCAAAGTCTTTGGCTGCCAGCTTGATCTGGAACTCCTCCCGCTCCTTCCTCAGCATGTCGATTGCAGTCTCTTTGTCGATCTTCAGAAGAGAGGAGAGTCAAGTGGAAACCTTACGGTATCGCATCCGATACCTTGAGGATCTCAATCGCATCGCGGAGCCTTGCATTCTTCTTCTTTTCTTCCTCGAGTTCCATGTTCAGGAGGTAGGAATCTTTATGTAGCACTTCACGCCCAGCTGAAGATCTCAAGTCATCGATGCAACATCATAGTAGAATCGAAACGATGGGCAGTGAAAGAGCAACAGGTGGAAGGTACATGGTTGATATACCTAGGTTGGCCCGCAGAAGGTTGAGCTCCTTCATCATCGCCTCCATCTTCTCCTCTGCCTCCGCTTTCTCCTTCTCTGCAACTTTCTGCAGTTGCTGTGCAGCCCTGCCACCCATCTCATCAGAGACGATTCGACCTGAGCGAAGGAGGACGACACCTCAGCTGTAACTCCATCTTCTCAACAGTGCTCGCAGGGTAGCTTGGTGTCTGGTAGGGATCATGCTTCGAAGCATCAGCTGCCAAGAACTCGTAATCTTCCACGTTTGGGTTGTTGAGAATGTCTTCGATCTGAGGCCACACGTCATGCTCTTCCTCGTGCTTCATCGCACCCTTCTGCCGCTGCTCTCCTCTCTCCATCCGAGGGATGTAAATGTTGGTGTCATGCCCATCATGTCGATGGTTCCCGTGCATTTCGCTGCCTTGCAAGGCAGGCGATGCCTTCCTCTCTGCCCTCTTGGGCGATGCTCGCCTCTTCCCCTCTGGCACAGCTCCTGCGGCCGCTCGCAGCCTCCCGCCTCCAGGCGCATGCTCGACCTCCGCTGCTGCTCCTGAAGCTACGTTGTTGTTCTGTGTTAGAGCACTGGGAGGTGAGGTCGAGGGGAGACCTGCGTATCCTCCCCCTTCGCCTCCGACCTCAGCGACGGCCTTCCTTCCATGCGCTCCTTGCGCTTTCACCTCTTTGATCATTGAAGAAGCCACCGACGGTTTCGCTTGAAAGGCGAGTCAAAGAAAAACGTCCGAGGCTGTCAACGACTCACTGCCAATCTACCGGGCCGGCCGAAGTCCGGGCCCGCAGCCGCCGGGCTCCTACTTAGGCGGCTAGGAAAATCCGGGCCCGGCGCGGCGGGACCGGCGGCCGGGGCGGCCCGGGCCGGCGGGCGCCCGTCGCGGCCCGGTTGGTCGGAACCCGGCCCAGCGGACCTACCAAGTTGACTGGAAGGAACTTAATTGGAGGAGGCGGGAAAATACAGTATGGCGGCGCTCGACCGTCAATCACCGTCGCGGGGAACCATCGGAACGCGGCGCGGGCGAGCGTAGGACAGAGCAGGAGCACAAGATAGCAGGAAACTTGAAAGAGGTCCTCTCCCTCCTTAGTAGAAGATGAGATGCTCGGTGAACATTATAGATGTTCGACCGCGCCGCTAGGGAAAGAGGATGATGTTGAGGTGGGTGCGGAGGAGGATAGAATTGATCAAAGTGTGTGGAGTGATTCAGATCAGTCAGGGCAGCAGGAAGGCCTGGATAGTCTCTTGTACCAGCTTGTCAACAGAGTCCTGAAGAAAGGGAGTCCAATGCTAGACAGCGCTCAAACAAGATACGTCTGTTCTTAGAGTTGGGCGGAACATTTCATGTCTTGTTTTGACTCTCTCTTTTTCTGCAAGTTGAGCTCTGCGCAAATCAGAAGGATTGGACAATGATTGGAGTGTAGATGTCAAACAAGTCTCAAGAAGTTTGCATATACAACTTGAAGCCATGCACCCCTTCTCTCCCCTCATGGAAGGCGGCGATGATACCATCAGACTCATGAGCATGCTCCGATCCATGAAGCGCTCAAATGAAAACTCTCGCAAGTCTGATAGCAGAGGATCTGTCCAGACCTCAGGAAAAGACCAATGGAACCATCTCCTGCAATGTGAGGTCTTCTGCAGCGTCTCTGCTTGTCCGGATGCAGATCTTGTTGGTACCAACGTAGTCTATATATCGGTCAATGACTACACAAAGAGGAGTCCTGATGAAGATCCAAAGGTAGATATCATCCAAATACTCATCTGATCTTATCTCTTATCTGATACATGATTGTATTGCTCGAAGGTCTTCATTGGAAATTCAGTTTACTCGGTTTGTTATCACGCTGGTGTTCAGCTTGGATGTGTTGCCCTGGAACAAGTCCAGAGGATCAATGAAAAGCTGTCACTCAATGATACAGTGCGATTACGAATGGTGCACAGTAAATCGTACTTTGTATGAATTCCTTGACTAGATAATATTTCACTGATCCCTCATGGCAGCCTGTCTGTTCTGAGATATTTGTAGAGGTCAGCGCGATCCAAGAAGATGGTTACCATGTGAACACAGCTCGAATCGAGTATGACGAATTGACCAATCAGATGTAAGTTGTCCCCCAGATTTGTTTGTGACAAAACTAAATGGAATGCAAAGAATGGATACTTTCTGTGGACAAGTTTTCCACCAAGGACAGAGCGCTTTGATAATTAGCGATGATATGAGGTTTGGACTTGTTTGGATTCGCATGTGGATATTGAACGAAAACGTTTGCTTGCAGCTTGAAGATGAAAGTAAACAGTTTTTCGACAAATTTTGAAGATTTGATTCTTTCTTTTTGCCTTGGGAAACACAAACGATTGGGAGTTGGTAGTTTTGCGCTTCTTGTGAGGTAGATGTTTTCTCACCAACTCATCTCACAGATTCTTGGCTGCAAGCTCTTGATAATCACATTGTACAGTATATTGCTCAGCTTTTGATCAGGGACGCTTTCTTCTTTCCACAATACGTGATTCTTGATCGGTCGACCATCTTAAACATTGAGCTTCGAACAGACTTTACTTTCCTCAATAGTATAAGCAAGGAGCTTAGCGATGAAAGGTTTTTCTCATACAATTCGCATGAGCAGAGCACATTTGAAATGCAAATGATAGAGGACAGTTGTCAATTTTTGAACGAGGAAGGCTTTTCTACTGTTGAGGTTAACAATGAGGCAAGATTTGAAAATTGCCTTGGCTTGCTGGTGGTCTCTAAGACCAAGCAAAGGAAGAGTGCAATGTTCTGGCGGTGGAAACTTCTGTGTAAAGAAAGTAGGAGGCAAGGAAAAGATTTCGTTATCGCCCGTTTGTACCTTCGACGAGGGAACATGCGACGAAAGATCATTTTCTTCTCAAGATGGGCGTCGTGGATTGCAGTTTTACAGAAGACTCAAAGTATGCTGTATAAGAGCTATTTCTACAGACTGAGAGAGATCCTTGTGCGATGGGAGCAATTCGTTCTGTTTGTGAAAATGAAGCTTTGTTTCGACATGAAATGTCGGTCGAGGAGAACCGTGAGGATGCTCATCGTGGTCCTCGTGGCATTCAAAGAGCACAAGATTCAAGCACGGAATGTCTCGCACAAGTGGGAGATGCTTTCTCTATGGTTGCTCATGGGCAGACATTTTGTTGTCATCAGGTCAAGACGGCATCTGGTGGGGCCCAGGAACGATACCCATGAAGTAGCAACCGACTCGATCATCTCCATCAGACAGGAGCTCACGCCCTCGAGCCGAACGGGAGGGTACAGTTGAAACTCATGGGATGACGTCGAAGCTGACATTAGAGGCAGGGTCAAGTCAAACTCCAGCGATGGTTCCACGCCCAACAGGAACAAAAGTCTAGCACACGCGATTCAAGATGCCACCATCTCGCTGCAGGAGCTTTTCACTGAGGAGACTTCCTGCAGCGGACTTGATAGCTACTACATCCGTCAAACACCGGACTCATTCCAAGGGAACCCATGGTCTTCAGCTTCCAATGGCTCTGGAGGACGAGACTCGAATAACAAGCCTGATGACAACAAGGGGAATCGTCCAAGGGTGAGCGGCAGACTCTGGCTCTTGAAGTTGACTAACGATGTTTGCTCCAAGATATCTGACGAGCTCAACAGCTCTACTTCTTGTCTGAGCACCAAGAGGCTGTTGGTGATGCTCCGAGAAGAGCTTGATGAAGGCTGAACCAGGCTACTTCGTTCTCCCCATCAAGTAACGATGATTGCCCATACTCCTTACACTTTGCAGACGAATAACCATCCTGTGGAAGAGACGCTTTTGTATAGCAACCACATCCTAACTGTAATCCTTTCCTTTGAAATAATATGTTCTAAAGATACAACCCTCCATCCCCCCCATTTCTCTGTTCGCTAGAATCGCTCACTTGACATGGTTGTCCCTTGCTCATCGCCTCCTACATGCGCGTGTGAGAAATTGTGTTGTACATAGCAGGTTCTCACCTCTTCACGAAGCCTCCGCAGCTCCTCTTTTTCTGCTGTCTTCCTTCGCTCGCAAACATGTTACAACGTATGAAGCGACGATGATCACATACTCACTTAGCTATAGCGACAATGTTTTCTTGAATGGCTTCCTCATAGACTGGATCCGGACCGGCAGCTTGGAGCTCCACGTTTGATCGCTGTAGATGGAAGATGGAGTTCTCCAATTCCTTGATTCTTATCAAAATCGGATCATCCTCTCCTTGACCCGCGGGCAACGATGCGGGGATCTTTTCCTGGGACGGCCCAGGCTCCTCTTGCTTCTCGAGCTTCCAGGTTGGTGCTTGATCCTGCAAGACAGAAAAGATCGTATCGCCCTCCTTGACGCCAATCTCCTCAAAGGTACTTTCATCATCCACAATCTTGCCGTTGTACACCAAGAACAACTTTGAGATAGAATCTAGATTCATGCTACCCAGCAAGTTCTCCTTGACGTCCTTGGCCTGTAAGAGCACACGTGAGCATGACGTCTCTTCCTCATCTCATCACCGTCGTCCTGCTCTCGACGTGCATCGCCATCTCCACTGCCCGCGACCCCGCTGGCCTGATCTTGACCTCCATGTTCGCTCGCCAGGTTCCAAGAGTATCCCTCATCCCCCTACTGACCATCGAGCGACCGCGACCTCATCACCACCGGTTCATCACAGTAGAAAAGCGGGGGGTGGTCTCTTCAGGGTTTCCCGCCATTCTGGTGAGGGAGGGAGGGAGGGAGGAGAGGAGCCAGGGGGAGAAGAGGAGGAGAAGAGAAGGAGAGTAAGGAGAGGGCTGAGATCGAGCTGGGGATAACGTCAGACGAAAAGAGCAAAGTTGCAATGCCGTAGAGCCTTCATTAGTTGTACACTTCGAACCAAGAAGTTTCCGCCTCTTCCACTTTGCAAACGAGCATGCCCTGCATTTCCTCGGTTGTCGCGAAGAAAGGATCAGCCATGCTCAGATTTGTCCTTGTTATTTTTTGCTGTACTCATCTGGATGGTTTCATGCCCTCTGGGTACATGCCGGCTCGCCTTTTGTCCCCGGCTACATTTATGGACAGCGCATCAATCAACAGCAGACGATGCGCGGCAAGCAGGTGCAGGGCGGGATCCTCTCGCATGAACAAGGTACAGTATCACATCGTTGATCCTGTTGCCTGACATGAAATTCTAAGTTGTCGCCGAAGATGAAGATGGGCAGCAACAGCGTTTCAGACAGGAACGCTGAGATTCTTGTTTCCGAGTACAAGGGAATCCTCACGGAGCTCTCAAAAGAGTTCCAGCCGAAAGTAAGACATGCAACGTTGACCTTGATCTTCTCCATCGCAGTGCTGCTAGATGGTGACCTGATGGTATCTGATGCAGGGCCTTCGTCTTACATGGGTTGGTGTGAATCAAGAGACTTTGTTCGACGCACTCGCCGTTCAGCTCAAGGACGTTGGCATTCAAAGGAGTGTTGGAAGAACGTCCACAACAGGATCCATCAAGTATGATGACTCGGGTGCTCAGGTGAAGAGTTCACATGAATGCCATGCTCATCTTGACTGTGGTGGGTTGAAAGATACCAGGAACATTCCCGAAAGCTGCCAAGCAGATCAGGATCGACGTGATTCGCCACATCGTCTCGCACCTTGAGAAGTTGCAAGTGCATGGAGAAGGAACTGAACGATTCTTGCATGCTGCTGCGCAATTGTACGGGATTCAAATCTCGGTGTTTGAGGTATCTCAGCCCACGTGAAAAATTACGAGTTTACTTGTTGCAGATCAACTCTATCGGAAGCCTTGAGATTTCTGAATACTCACCACCAGAAGGGGCAAAACCACGAGGAACCGTTCATCTCGTGAGGAAAGGGGATCATTTCATATCCACGGTGAAGCATTCGACGGATGCAGAGAACGATCGGTTGTTTTCAAACGTGCCTGATGACATGGCTTGGCGACAGATTCGTGAGAAATCTGCAATACTCGGCTTTACACGTGATTCAGGCCGGCATCAACAGACCAATTCCAATCCAGTCAATCATGTGCAATTTCGGAGTAAGAAGGATCGAAGAAGGTTTCTTCAAGCCACGGTTTTCTCGCAAGCATCGATAGCCTTGGAGTCTCTCGACGATCAGCCGAACCAAGACGTGTATACGGCTTTTGTGAAATCGCTTGAGGTATTGCATCCATGGAAAGATACTCAATCTCCCTGAATGATTACAGGTTGTGGGTGTCCCGATGAAAACGGCAGCAGTCGGAGGTGCAAGTCAATCAGTGATGGACGCACAGAATGCAGTCAGAGCGACACGATCTGAGATCATAATGTTCATTGCGTCGAATAAGATGAAATATACCGACGTAGAAAGCCCATTCAAAGAATTGATGGCCATGTCCTGCAAATATAAGATCGATGTAATGAGATGATACTCCTTGAATAGCGATTTCGACTGAACTTGCTGTTTCTACAGATAACCTGCTTCACCCTGCGAGATGGACTGGTCGCAAAAGAGTCTTTCTCGCCGCCGGAGGGTGTAACCTCGCGAGCATCAATTACACTTGGCTATGACGGGTCAGGTTTCCTTGCCATGTCCGACTCCGAGACCGTCCCGGACCATGTTGAGTTAGCAGCATTGCCAAATTTAGCTTCAACTTCTGCTCCTTTTGAAGCGGGAAGTAGCAATTTGGCAACTTCTGACGAAAGCCTGTCAGAGAGCAAGGCTCTCACGTCGTATGACAACAGTATGGTTGTCGATGTCGAAAGTTACGAGCAATCAGCTGATGGAGATGAAACTCAAAAAGTTGCCGCGACTTCAGAAGACGAGAGTCAGGAGCGAGAGTTGATATGGGACTCAAAGTCTTTGAGTTGGAAGCTTGTACCAGTCTCCCAGAAAGATGACTCGATTGAAACGATACCAGATGTCGATGCCGTCGAAATCTCCAGCAACGAGGACTCTCCGTCAACTGATTCAGACTCCAAATCAAGCTTCTTGCCCAAGTTCAGCCGATTGCGCGACGTAGCCAAGCCTGTCAAGGCTCCTGAAGTCACCAATCGAGGGTTGACCATCTCAGATGCGGTCATGGCGGCTGAGTTGACTGCAAAGAACTCAAAGGTGAACATTGTTTCTCTGCAAGGGTTGGGAGCTCGCAAAGTCGACCAATCGTCCAGCCCGACACCGGGGATAGAGAAATTGGAAAGAATGCTGACCGGAGAGGGAAAGGAGATTGACAGAGCAGATGGTGGCAGCAACGTATACATGTGCATTGCCTCGTTGATGCACTCGGAGGGCCTCCAGATTCAAGGCCTTATGTTTACCATGTGGGGAGAGGAGAAGAAGGGCGCTCTTATAGGAGCTATGTCCAGAAAAGCCCGTGATGATGCTAAGAGGTAACAGCTTCTCCTTCCTAGAGAATCAGTGCCTGTCCAATCTTGTGATCTCTCCCTGTTGTCCTTCATTGTTGTGTCGGATAGTGACTTGTGTCAATTTGCAGGTACATGTTGAAGAACCCAGATGTGTTTGATAAGCCAGGGCAGTGGCCCGGTGATCATGACCTGAGAGCCTTGGCCCATGTCTATCGCCTCCGGATTAAAGTCTACATGGCGGTCTACGATGAAGAAGTGCAGGAGAAAGTGTACGAACCTGACGACGGGACAGAGCCTAGAATGGAGCTACAAATATGCCTTGATCGCAAACGATTTTGGGCCATCAAGAAAATAGGAAGTGATGAAGAGCGCCGAGATGAGGAAGTAGAGCATACTGTGGAATCATCCAGTCAGAGGAAACCTCGGACAGCACTCGAGAAAGTACTTGCCAAGTGAGTTTCTCTTGTTCCTGTCGCTTCTTGTGACGTGTTGTTGTAGATATGGTGGTGGAACGCAAAATGATATATCAGTCAGGATAACAGGCACCAACATCGCTCACGATCACTCTGCTCGACCTTCTGTCCCTATCCCTGACTTGGCAGTCTCAACCGTGAAAGCTGTAAGGGATCATTCAGCAACTGTAAGTCGACTGGAGGTACAAGAGCTGAGCTGTTCTGACCAACAGTGAAGGTGATATGGCTCCACGGACTCGCTGGCAGCGGGCAAGAGTGGATGAATCTCCCGGATGCTCTCCACGTTCCCTGGGTCAAGTTCGTATTTCCTACAGCTGCGGAGGACTCGCTAGACCTTTGGGACGAGAAGCACGTGACCTCGTGGTTTGACATCAGCCTGGCTTCGTACAAGATCCACTGCAACGCGATCAACGCCTTGCCCAACGTCGTCTCGCGGATGTACTACAAGATGAAAGACGACGTGGCAGGTATCGAGAAGAACACAGCCTTTGTGGTGAGTCTTTGAGTTTCACCCTACCTCTTCTAAGTATCTTCCCAGCTCGATCTTATCCAGAAGGAGATTCAAGCAGGGATCCCGCCGGAGAGAATCGTTGTCGGAGGTTTTTCACAAGGAGCAGCCATCGCTCTCAGCGCTGCCCTAACTTCCAACCACAAGTTAGGAGGAGTAATCCAGCTCAGTCCCTGGCAGCTCCCCTCCATCTCCCGGCTGTCTCCGCATTGGAGGGAGGAGGAAGTGCAGGATGGCAAGCTCCCTCTTCTCTTCTGCCATGGATCAGACGATGAAGTCGTGCTGCCGAGTTTTGCCCGGCAGATGATTGCGAATTCCGTCTTCTCAGATTTCACTCAAGTTTCTGAGCACGAATACCAAGGCCTCGGTCATGGGTTGTGCAGCGACGAGCTACAGGCCGTACGTTCCTTCCTTGTCCACCACGTCCCCGGGACCGCCAGCTACGACGCACTACACCCTCCTCCCTCGAGGTTCGGCAAGCAGAACGCCAAGAAGTCGGGAGCGCCATCAACAGGGAAGCGATGGGGTGACGGATCTGTTGTCTCGCTGCATGACTCGTCCGTCAGATATCAGGTCCTGCACATGACGTTTACCTTCCTTGCTGATCGATCGAGAACAGGCCATGACATCTTCCAACCCCGAGGAAGTGGAGGCGATCATTTCCGAGGCCGTCGAGGTCAACACAAGGTGAGGCGGGTGAGAGGAGACGAGGGCATTGATGATGGAGCTGCAGAGAATTCGTGGAGAGTTGGGAGGACAAGGGCCAGGAGCTGTGGGGCTGGTTGAAGTCCAGGAAGCACTTGATGTGAAGGGCGGTGAGAGTTTCAAGTACTGCCCTCGTCTTTGGCAGAATGTTTGATCAAGCTTTGATGTTATGATGATGTCAAGTAAGCAACTTGCTAAGAATTTTTTTGCTCTGCATCCAACCTTCGTGCAAGGTCGTTAGAGAGAAGGAAACTGTTATGTGCTTGATATCAGTAGGCAGCCAAGTCTATGATAGCAACTAGAATGCATCTGCTACAATCTCGCCCTGGAGCATTCATGTTGAAATGACTTTCAGTTCGCTGCCTTGAGCATGTCTTGGATGGTAGTCAGCTGTCAATCAAGTCACCTCGCTCCTTTCTCCGCACCCTTCACTTGTCACCTTCACTCGTGGTCTCCCAGCCCTCGCTCCCATCTCCTGCCACACACGTTCATCCTCGCTGCTCCGCACCACCACGTCCTCCCCAACCTTCTCTAGCTGGTCGATTCGCCTCCATCCATCGAGGCTCACAACCTCTACTCCCTTCTTCGCCAGCAGCTGCTTCAGCCCCTCCCTCCCAGGCTTCGAGGCCTCGAGAGCTCCTGCTCGTTCTTGATCACTTCACGCCCCCTCCTCCTCCCCCAAAAAAA